TGTATGGGCATAGCATGCCTAGTTGTATGCGTGTATGTGCATAACGTGCTTGGCTGTACGCATGTGTGGGCATAGCATGCCAGGCTGTGTGTGTGTATGGCCATGGCTTGCCTTGCTGTGTGTGTGTATGGGCATGGCATGCCTGACTGTATGTGTGTATGGACATGGTATGCCTGGCTGTATGCGTGTATGGGGATGGCATGCCTAGCTGTATGTGTGTGGTATGGGCATAGCATGCCTGGCTGCATGTGTGTATGGGCATAGCATACCTAGTTGTATGCATGTATGGGCAAAGCATGCATGGCTGTATGCATGTATGGGCATAGCATGCATGGCTGTATGCATGTATGGGCATAGCATGCATGGATGTATGCATTTATGGGCATAGCATGCCTGGCTGTATGTGTGTATGGGCATAACGTGCCTGGCTGTACGCATGTAGGGGCATAGCATGCCTGGCTGTATGCATGTATGGGCATAGCATGCCTGGCTGTATGTGTGTATGGACATGGTATGCCTGGCTGTATGCGTGTATGGGAATGGCATGCTTGACTGTATGTGTATATGGGCATAGCATGCCTGGTTGTGTGGGTGTATGGGCATGGTAGGCCTGGCTTCATGTGTGTATTTGGATGGGATGCCTAGCTGATGTGTGTATGGGCATAGCATGCCCGACTGTATGTGTGTATAGGCATAGCATACCTAGTTGTATGCATGTATGGGCATAGCATGCATGGCTGTATGCATGTAGGGGCATAGCATGCCAGGCTGTTTGTGTGTATGGGCATACCATGCCTGGCTGTATGTGTGTATGGGCATAGCATACCTAGTTGTATGCATGTATGGGCATAGCATGCATGGCTGTATGCATGTATGGGCATAGCATGCATGGCTGTATGCATGTATGGGCATAGCATGCATGGATGTATGCATTTATGGGCATAGCATGCCTGGCTGTATGTGTGTATGGGCATAACTTGCCTGGCTGTACGCATGTAGGGGCATACCATGCCTGGCTGTATGCATGTATGGGCATAGCATGCCTGGCTGTATGTGTGTATGGACATGGTATGCCTGGCTGTATGCGTGTATGGGAATGGCATGCTTGACTGTATGTGTATATGGGCATAGCATGCCTGGTTGTGTGGGTGTATGGGCATGGTAGGCCTGGCTTCATGTGTGTATTTGGATGGGATGCCTAGCTGATGTGTGTATGGGCATAGCATGCCTGACTGTATGTGTGTATAGGCATAGCATACCTAGTTGTATGCATGTATGGGCATAGCATGCATGGCTGTATGCATGTAGGGGCATAGCATGCCTGGCTGTATGCATGTATGGGCGTAGCATGCCAGGCTGTGTGTGTGTACGGGCATGGCATGCCTGACTGTATTTGTATACGGGCATAGCATGCCTGGCTGTGTGTGTGTATGGGCATGGTATGCCTGGCTGTATGTGTGTAAGGGGATGGCCTAGCTGTATGTATGTATGGGCATGGCATGCCTGGCTGTATGTGTGTATGGCCATAGCATACCTAGTTGTATGCATGTATGGGCATAGCATGCATGGCTGTATGCATGTATGGGCATAGCATGCTTGGCTGTATGTGTGTATGGGCATAGCATACCTAGTTGTATGCATGTATGGGCATAGCATGCATGGCTGTATGCATGCATGGACATAGAATGCCTGGCTGTATGTGTGTATGGGCATAGCATGCCTAGTTGTATGCGTGTATGTGCATAACGTGCCTAGCTGTATGCATGTATGGGCACAGCATGCCAGGCTGTACGCGTGTATGGGCATGGCATGCCAGGCTGTGTGTGTGTATGGGCATGGCATGCCTGGCTGTATGTGTGTATGGGCATAGCATGCCTAGCTGTATGTGTGTATAGGCATGGTATGCCTGGCTGTATGTGTGTATGGGGATGGCATGCCTAGTTGTATGTGTGTATGGGCATAGCATGCCTGGCTGTATGTGTGTATGGCCATAGCATACCTAGTTGTATGCATGTATGGGCATAGCATGTATGGCTGTATGCATGTATGGGTATAGCATGCCTGTGTGTATGTGTGTATGGGCATGGCATGCCTGACTGTAAGTGTGTATGGGCATAGCATGCCTAGTTGTATGCGTGTATGTGCATAACGTGCTTGGCTGTAAGCATGTGTGGGCATAGCATGCCAGGCTGTGTGTGTGTATGGCCATGGCTTGCCTTGCTGTGTGTGTGTATGGGCATGGCATGCCTGACTGTATGTGTGTATGGACATGGTATGCCTGGCTGTATGCGTGTATGGGGATGGCATGCCTAGCTGTATGTGTGTTGTATGGGCATAGCATGCCTGGCTGTGTGTGTGTATGGGAATGGGATGCCTGACTGTATGTGTATATGGGCCTAGCTGTGTGTGTGTATGGGCATGGTATAACTGGCTGTATGTGTGTATGGGGATGGCATGCCTAGCTGTATGTGTGTATGGGCATAGCATGCCTGGCTGTGTGTGTGTATGGGAATGGGATGCCTGACTGTATGTGTATATGGGCCTAGCTGTGTGTGTGTATGGGCATGGTATGCCTGGCTGTATGTGTGTATGGGGATGGCATGCCTAGCTGTATGTGTGTATGGGCATAGCATGCCTGGCTGTGTGTGTGTATGGGAATGGGATGCCTGACTGTATGTGTATATGGGCATAGCATGCCTGTCTGTGTGTGTGTATGGGCATGGTATGCCTGGCTGTATGTGTGTATGGGGATGGCATGCCTAGCTGTATGTGTGTATGGGCATAGCATGCCTGGCTGTGTGTGTGTATGGGAATGGGATGCCTGACTGTATGTGTATATGGGCATAGCATGCCTGTCTGTGTGTGTGTATGGGCATGGTATGCCTGGCTGTATGTGTGTATGGGGATGGCATGCCTAGCTGTATGTGTGTATGGGCATAGCATGCCTGGCTGTGTGTGTGTATGGGAATGGGATGCCTGACTGTATGTGTATATGGGCATAGCATGCCTGTCTGTGTGTGTGTATGGGCATGGTATGCCTGGCTGTATGTGTGTATGGGGATGGCATGCCTAGCTGTATGTGTGTATGGGCATAGCATGCCTGGCTGTGTGTGTGTATGGGAATGGGATGCCTGACTGTATGTGTATATGGGCATAGCATGCCTGTCTGTGTGTGTGTATGGGCATGGTATGCCTGGCTGTATGTGTGTATGGGGATGGCATGCCTAGCTGTATGTGTGTATGGGCATAGCATGCCTGGCTGTGTGTGTGTATGGGAATGGGATGCCTGACTGTATGTGTATATGGGCATAGCATGCCTGTCTGTGTGTGTGTATGGGCATGGTATGCCTGGCTGTATGTGTGTATGGGGATGGCATGCCTAGCTGTATGTGTGTATGGGCATAGCATGCCTGGCTGTGTGTGTGTATGGGAATGGATGCCTGACTGTATGTGTATATGGGCATAGCATGCCTGTCTGTGTGTGTGTATGGGCATGGTATGCCTGGCTGTATGTGTGTATGGGGATGGCATGCCTAGCTGTATGTGTGTATGGGCATAGCATGCCTGGCTGTGTGTGTGTATGGGAATGGGATGCCTGACTGTATGTGTATATGGGCATAGCATGCCTGTCTGTGTGTGTGTATGGGCATGGTATGCCTGGCTGTATGTGTGTATAGGGATGGCATGCCTAGCTGTATGTGTGTATGGGGATAGCATGCCTGGCTGTATGTGTGTATGGACATAGCATACCTAGTTGTATGCATGTATGCGCATAACATGCATGGCTGTATGCATGTATGGGCATAGAATGCCTTGCTGTATGCGTGTATGGGCATAGCATGCCTGGCTGTATGTGTGTATGGGCATAGCATGCCTAGTTGTATGCGTGTATGTGCATAACGTGCTTGGCTGTACGCATGTGTGGGCATAGCATGCCAGGCTGTGTGTGTGTATGGCCATGGCTTGCCTTGCTGTGTGTGTGTATGGGCATGGCATGCCTGACTGTATGTGTGTATGGACATGGTATGCCTGGCTGTATGCGTGTATGGGGATGGCATGCCTAGCTGTATGTGTGTTGTATGGGCATAGCATGCCTGGCTGCATGTGTGTATGGGCATAGCATACCTAGTTGTATGCATGTATGGGCATAGCATGCATGGCTGTATGCATGTATGGGCATAGCATGCATGGCTGTATGCATGTATGGGCATAGCATGCATGGATGTATGCATTTATGGGCATAGCATGCCTGGCTGTATGTGTGTATGGGCATAACGTGCCTGGCTGTACGCATGTAGGGGCATAGCATGCCTGGCTGTATGCATGTATGGGCATAGCATGCCTGGCTGTATGTGTGTATGGACATGGTATGCCTGGCTGTATGCGTGTATGGGAATGGCATGCTTGACTGTATGTGTATATGGGCATAGCATGCCTGGTTGTGTGGGTGTATGGGCATGGTAGGCCTGGCTTCATGTGTGTATTTGGATGGGATGCCTAGCTGATGTGTGTATGGGCATAGCATGCCTGACTGTATGTGTGTATAGGCATAGCATACCTAGTTGTATGCATGTATGGGCATAGCATGCATGGCTGTATGCATGTAGGGGCATAGCATGCCAGGCTGTTTGTGTGTATGGGCATACCATGCCTGGCTGTATGTGTGTATGAGCATAGCATACCTAGTTGTATGCATGTATGGGCATAGCATGCATGGCTGTATGCATGTATGGGCATAGCATGCATGGCTGTATGCATGTATGGGCATATAATGTCTGGTTGTTTACTGTCTTATTTACTGTCTTAAGAAATCAATGTGGTCGGCGTGAGTTTTGCCTACTCTCGTTTTTTTTATATTTCTGAGTTTCATCCCATGTTCCGCACCAAACCTGAAACCCCAAACGCAATATCCAACACCATAAGTGCATATAAACAAATTATGTGGTCCACTTTTGAACGTATGTTGTGTTTCTATGATTCATTGGTGTACTGTGCAGGTCGTACAGCACGCGCTGTCTGTTGCAGCCGCAAGACAAAGAACATCTTCCAACACCAATTTCTATTGCTTGTTGGAACATCTTGCGGGGACAGATTTCCGATTGCACGGTGCTACCACTGTTCTCTAATTTGGATATTGGGAACTCCAACTATTAGGCTATTTGCGATGGTGCATGTGTTTGTTTGATTGTTGTTTGCATTTGAGGGGTGTGCATGGGTTTGATAAATACTGTCTGTTTCGGGGTGTGCCTGCTGCTCCTAGTCCCCATGTGCATAGTGCGTGTGGCAGCAAATGTGATAAGGCGTGGATTGTGTCTGCTTCGGATGTGCTGCTTATATGCAAGGTGTTGCAATTTGAGGTTGTCATCGTGCGTGGGGCAACTCTGTTGTCATTGCGCACCCCATCAATCTCTGTTGCAGCATTGACGCATATATGCAAACGTTTCGTAGCACTCACAATCCTATCGTAGTTGCATGTTCACTCCATCACTGTATGTATCGACGAGATGTGGTGGCTGGCACGAGGTGTGTTTGGATTGCGTTTGCCCCGAGCGTGCTGCTTATTGGCTAGTAGTTGCAATTAGAGATTGTCATCGTGTTCGGGGCAGTTCCGCTGTCATCGTGCACCCCATCAATCTCTACTGCAACACTATTCATGCCTATATGCACTCGTTTCCTGTCATTTGCAATCCTACAGAATGTTTAATTATACATAATAATTTGTTGAAATGTGTCATGCGGTCTGATTGTTCCATCCGCCGTACTTATCGACGCGATGGAGCACTTTGGACATTTTGGATTCATGTTTTGGAGTTGCATCGAACAGTTAACTAAATTCTTAAAATTTACTGTTCATATTAATGCTCCGAAATGTGAAACCGATTTTATAGGGTTGCTACGCAACCCAATAAAAAAATGCTGCGTGCGAACGTAGAGAATTGAGAGAATTGAATGTGTGGTGGACTTCAGGGTGATGATGATGTACTGTACCGCTCCACACAGATGCTGCAGCAGCAGTGATGGCCACAGTGATGGTGCTTGCAATGATGCAAAGAAAGCCGAACCTGTGCTTCGGAGGTGCTGGTGCTGCCGAGCGAAATAATATTTTGGTTTGGATCCAGCACCAGCATTTTGGGCAGAGCTGAATGAGTTTGGCTTGGTTGGACCCAGCCAGCATTTTGGTTGGTCGCAGTCAGCCAGGCTCGGCAACGAATGGGTCCCCTGCTGGTGTACACCCAAAACCAGACCGAAACGCCCCGTCCGCCCACACAAGCCTAGTTTGCGAAGGCTCCAGCCCAGAAGCCCAAATATGCATCCCAAACCAGTCGCGTTTTCGCAGGCGCCTCGTGTTACGCATATCCCTGTTGCCCCTTCGACAAACAATAACGAGGATACGCCAGCAGGGGGGTTGGTCCCACCAAGCCAGCGCAGAACCACGAGAAAATGAAACACCACCCAGCAGCAGATGCTTCAAGGTGCTGCTGGCAAAAGCCAAGAGCCAACAGCAGCACTGGGCAGTTGTAGTTCCTTGTCCCCAAGTCCCCTTCTCGCTAGTATCTCCTCTCCTTCGTTCCCCGCTGCGTGATCACCCTCGCTTCGCCTTCCGCGAACTTCCGCCTCGTTAGCTTTTCACGCGTTCAGCAGCAATGGCCGAATCAGGTGCAGAAGCGGAGTCAGCGACGTTCGAGTCGCTGGGCATCTGCAGCCAGCTAGTGGAGGCGTGTCAGACGCTAGGCTGGAAGCACCCCACGCCCATTCAGTGCGCCGCCATTCCCCCCGCCGTCCAAGGTGCGCGTCCTCCGCCTCCCCCACCGCTTCCCTTCACCTCATCTCCTTGCGTGCCCTGAGTTAACTCTTAGTTTAGAAACATTCTCCCCCTCGATCCATCCAGCTTGTTTAAATTGCTCTCTCCATCCTGCGCGTAGTGCCTTTTTCGCCACTAGGGCATCGTTCGCGTCTCTTTCCACACGTTGGCTCATCATCCGACGGTCTGTCGCTATCTCCACTGCTCTCTCCGCGCCGCCGTGTCGTGCGCAGGTCGCGACGTGATCGGGCTAGCGCAGACGGGCTCCGGAAAAACCGCGGCGTTCACCATCCCCATTCTCGAGGCCCTACTAGCGAAACCCTCGCCGCTCTTCGCCTGTATACTGTCGCCCACACGGTACGCGCCGTGCCATGCCATGCCATGCCATGCGGTTCCCCACGCTTCATGTCATGTCACGTGATGCTGCCTGTGACACGTCACGTGCTCTGTTCAACGTGTAGCGTGTTAATCCCATGCAAAACCCAGAGTCGTGGATAGACCTCAGAACTCACGGTGCTCGTGGATCCGTCTTTAAGGGGGAAAAGACATTATTCTCGCCGTGCTTGCGAAAGCTAAACCCTATTTTGGGAAACCCTAAACCATCGCACGAGACTTTTCGCTCGTTCGCTTCCCCTGCATGGCGTAACCCTAAACCCGTGAATCTGTTGTAATCTGTCCGAATCAATCTTAGACCAGATGAATGCTTCTCTTTATCCGTGAATGTTTCACGCATGCAGTGCCTTTCCTCCGTGCCTGACTGTATGGCGTCTGGTTCGTATGCTGCCATGTCCGCCTGTGTGTCCCATGCGTGTGTGTCCCATGCGTGTGTGTCCCATGCGTGTGTGTCCCATGCGTGCACATGGTGCTGTGTGTGAGCAGAGAGCTGGCCATTCAGATAGCGGAGCAGTGCGAGGCGCTAGGCAGCAGCATCGGGCTCAAGTGCGCTGTGGTCAGTCTTTCGCGCCATGCCCTTTGCCATTTGCTCTTCGCTTTCTCTCACATGTTCTGCCTTCCTTCCAATCACTTCTGTGGCATGACTTCTTGATGAAACACCAACGCTTCCCACTCTCCCCCCTGTTTATACCTCCACCACCCCCTCCCTTCCCATTCCATCCCTCTCCATGCTCTCTCATGACTACCGTTAACTTGAGGCGCCTCTTAGCTCTTCCAAAGCCCACTCTTACTCCTGTCCGGCGTGCTGTGCTGTGCCCTGCTGCGCTCTGTTGTATTCTGCTCTGCTCTGCTCTGCTCTGCTCTTCTCTGCTCTGCTCTGCTGTGCTGTGCTGTGCTGTGCGGTGCAGATAGTGGGAGGCGTGGACATGGTGGCTCAGGCGATTGCGCTGGGGAAACGGCCACACATCATTGTACGGCGCCGTGGGCTGTGCCATTATCTGTGATGGGATACGTGCCTTGGTTGTCAAAAGCAACACGCTGTGGCATGGCACGCCCCTCATTCAATCTCGAGTGCATGCTTGCGTCTGCAGCGTTTCTGCTTCCACTTTCTCGACCCATTCGCGCTCACGCCTGCCTAATCCCTAGACCCTGGAGCCATCTTCTTCCTCCTCTCCCTCTCTCTCCCTCCGTCAGGTGGGCACGCCTGGTCGACTGGTGGATCATCTCAGCAACACCAAGGGTTTCAATCTTCGCACGCTCAAATACCTAGTGAGTCCTCCTCCTCCTCCTCCTCCTCCTCCTCCTCCTCCTCCTCCTCCTCCTCCTCCTCCTCCTCCTCCTCCTCCTCCTCCTCCTCCTCCTCTTTCTCCTCCTCCTCCTCCTCCTCCTCCTCCTCCTCCTCCTCCCCCTGCATCGGAAACCCTTCTGTTACGCTTTCCATATTCTTCTGTTCCCTTGATGTTTCATCCTTGCTCGCGCACGTGTACCTCTTCTCGGACGTGCCGCTTCTCTCCTGTCCGTAGACCTAGACCTTGGACGAGCCGGGCTGCTGGCCGAACACCTTGGCTGAGCACAGCACGCCCCACCGGACTCCCCCCTATCCTCCCCTTATCCCTCCCCCACTTTCAGGTGCTGGACGAGGCGGACCGGCTGCTGAACCTGGAGTTAGCGGCGAGGTGCCTCTTTGCGCCCGTATCCTCCCCTTCCAACATTCCTTTCTTGCCCCCTCCCCCTCACCTTCCTCGCTTCCTCCCCTCCCTATCTATCAGGTGCTGGACGAGGCGGACCGGCTGCTGAACCTGGAGTTCGCGGGAAGGTGCCTCAGCACGCCCAAACCCACTTCCCTCTCCCCTTCCCCCCCCCCCCCCCCCCCTCAAAATCCCTCCCCTTCTTCAGGTGCTGGACGAGGCGGACCGGCTACTGAACCTGGAGTTTGAGGCGGAGATCGACGAGATCCTCAAAGTGGTGCCCAAGGACCGCCGCACCTTCCTCTTCTCCGCCACCATGACCTCCAAGGTCGCCAAGCTGCAACGGGCGTGCCTCAAAGACCCCGTCAAGGTGCGCATTGCGATGCGTGCCTGGTTCCTTTGCGCTGGTTTCCCCTGCCTGCTGCCTGCGCCACCATCGCCAAATGAGTGTCCCTAGCGTGTCGTACTCGCCACTCTCTGCCTCCATCCTTCTGCGGCACCATCTCTCCTTTCTCCTGTTTCCCACCCTCCCTCTGCACTTGTGGTTTGGACTGATGGCATCATGGCATCATGGTATAATGGCATCATGGCATCATGGCATCATGGCATCATGGCATCATGGTATCATGGCATCATGGCATCATGGCATCATGGCATCATGGCATCATGGTATCATGGCATCATGGCATCATGGCATCATGGCATCATGGTATCATGGCATCATGGCATCATGGCATCATGGCATCATGGCATCATGGCATCATGGCATCATGGCATCATGGTATCATGGCATCATGGCATCATGGTATCATGGCATCATGGCATCATGGCATCATGGAATCATGGTATCATGGCATCATGGCATCATGGCATCATGGCATCATGGTACGGTGGCATGATCTCATTCCGGCACTATGACGGCATCAGGTGGAGGTGTCGTCCAAGTACTCCACAGTGGACACCCTGCGCCAACAGTACCTCTTCGTGCCCGCCAAGCACAAGGTGACAACACAACACACAACACACAACACACAACACAGGACATTCGTGTTGTACGTAATTCGCTACAGGTACAGGTCACCGGTCGCCACCTGTACCTGTGGTTTCCTTTTTACCTGTGGTTTAAGATTGACTCCAGCTGTCTTTCTGCCTGCTCACTCTCCAGCCCCTCCGTCTCATCTCATCTCCCTATCCCTCCCCCAATCTCTCACTCTCCCTCGCACTCTGCCGCCTCTCTCCCCCCCCAGGACTGTTATCTGGTGTATGTGTTGAACGAGCTGGTTGGCAGCGCAGCTTATAGTAGCATCAACTTCCCTCTCCCCCCTTCCCTGAAACCCAACAACACCCCCCTCCCCCCCCCGTCCTCCCCCCACCCACCCCCCAGGACTGCTACCTGGTGTACGTGTTGAACGAGCTGGCGGGCAGCACGGCCATGGTGTTCACGCGCACGTGCGATGCCACGCGCCGCCTTGCGCTGCTGCTCAGGAATCTGGGCTTCCCTGCCATCCCCATCAGCGGCCAGATGAGCCAGGTGCACGCATGAGCCAGTGGGATGTGGGGCAGGTGGGATGTGTGGGGTAGGTCAGATGCGGCGTTCGGGCCAGCAGGTGGGGTGCGAGGCAGGTAGGCTCTCAACACACAATGAAATACCTGCTGTGTTTTTGAGGAATTTTAATTAGCATGCTTTCTTCTACAACCGTTCCTCCACGTCTCATCCTCCCCACTCTCTCTATCCCCTCATTCCCTGCCCCCTTTTGAGTCGACTCAAAAGTCACCTCGTTACAATGTCACACAACACTTTTGAGTCGACTCAAAAGTCACCTCCCCACTCTCTCTATCCCCTCCCTCTTCCCTGCCCCCTCCCGCTGTCCGTCCTTCCCTCATTCAATTCTCCTCCTGCCCCCCCCTGCGATGATTTTTGAGGCGCCTAAAAAATCCTCCTGCCCCCCCCTGCGATGATTTTTTAGGCGCCTAAAAAATCCTCCTGCCCCCCCCTGCGATGCACCCCTCATCCCCACTCTTTTCCTCGCACCAGCCGCACCAGCCAAACCCGCTCCTCATCCCTCATCCCCACTCTTTTCCTCGCACACTAGCCGAAGCAGCTGGGAGCGCTGAACAAGTTCAAGAGCGGCGACCGGAGCATTTTGATCCTCCGACCCGCTTTCCTTTCTGACCCTCTTCCCCGCCTCTCCACCTCCCCCTCCCCTCCTCTCCTCTCCTCTCCTCTCCCCTCCTCTCCTCTCCTCTCCTCTCCTCCCTCCTCTCCCGACTCGCCCTCGCTCCAGCCGAAGCGGCTGGGGGCGCTGAACAAGTTCAAGAGCGGCGACCGGAGCATTCTGATCTGCACGGACGTGGCGAGCAGAGGGCTGGACATACCCTCCGTTGATATGGTTGTCAACTACGACATCCCCACCAACTCCAAGGTACCTGCCTCTCTGTATGTATGTCCCTCAGAGTCCCCACCAATGAATTCGGCTTTGTAGGTAGGTATGCTGTTGTATCCTTCTGTGCTGCCTATGGCCGTCTTTCCCTCGTGGTAAAGAGGAAGCAGCTCCGCTTGTGCTGCTTCTCATCAGTTCTCACCTTTCTCCTCATCCCTCTGCTCCACCCTCCTCTCACCCCTCCCCTCACCCCTCCCCTCACCCCCCCCTCCTCCCAGGACTATATCCACAGAGTGGGGCGGACAGCGAGAGCGGGGCGGTCGGGTCGAGCCATCACCATAGTGACGCAGTACGACGTGGAGCTCTTCCAGCGCATCGAGCAGCTCATAGGTGGGTGGGTAGCTCGAAGCGATGTGTTGTGAGGCGCCTTGGGCCTTGGGACGCCTGCCTCACAGCCACTGTCATTGTGCAGTGCAGAGCAGAACCATGTGGAGTTGTTTAAAACGCATCGAGCACCTCATTGGTGCGCACACTTGTCGTGGCTCCACATACTTGGACCTTGGTGGTCAGGCTGACTCACTCCTGCACCTGCTCTGCTAGTACCTGAGGTGGCTGCTTGGCTGCACAAGGGCCTGAATATCCACCATGTCTCAACCATGTGCTGTGCATGGTTGTGTGCTTGTGTGCGTGTGTGCAGGCAAGAAGATGGAGGGGTTCCCTGCAGAGGCAGAGGAGGCGCTGGTGCTGCTGGAGAGAGTCAGTGAGGCGCAGAGACTGGCCAACATGGTGAGGGGGGTGGTTGGGGTTGACTGCTGTGTGTGTGTGAGCACAGAGTGTGTATGTCTGTAATCGGGTGTGCTCATGTGGTGGGAGTAAGAGAGAAAGGGAGAGAGGGGAAGAGAAAAGGAGGGGGAGAAGAGGAGGGTTGGGGACTGAGAGGTGGTGGGAAGAGAGCAGCAAGTTGAGCATTTGCCAGCGTGACACCCCCCCCCTCCCTGCCCTGCTCTCCCCCCCCAGACCATCAAGGAGAAGGACGCCAACAGGAAGGGCGGCAATCTCAAAACCAAATCACCATCCCATCACACAAGAACATTCGCCAAGAGTGCTGCTAATCCCTCGCTCCCTGCCCCCCTCCCTCTCCCCCCACCCCCCCAGACCATCAAGGAGAAGGACGCCAACAGGAAGGGCGGCAGGAGGCGCACCAGGGATGATGACGAGGAGGGGGGAGGGGGCGGCAGCAGCATGATGAGACAGCTGGGGATAGGCAGCAGGGGTGGGGGCCGGGGAGGCGGTCGAGGGGGTGGGGGTGGGCGTGGTGGTGGTGGTGGGGGCAAGAGGGGGAGGAGGTGAGGTTGGAGACAATCTTTGGTACCGGTATTTTGATTACGTGGTACAGTACTAATAGTAAAAGCCAGCCAATTTCATTCAACGCCAGTATGGTATCCTCCATTTTCCAACCCAGGGATACAGCATAAACATGTGGTCGATTACTGGCAGCCAAACCAAATGGGTGCTTGGTTACACCCAAGCTGACTATCCAAGCCCATCAACGCGCTCTTAGTGGCTCATTATAACAACCTCAGATAGGTAGCTATTAGCTAACCTGCTGCCACTTGTTCATCCTAGTAATGAAACCTATCTGAGTTCAGAGCCTAGTAATGAACCCCTGAACTCCTTAGAGCTTGTCTGGAGTTATGCGATGTCAGTGTGGACTTTTCCCTTTCACCTTTCAATGGAATCAGTCTAGGACTCTAGGCCACTTCTTAGACCCCAGTATAGTGAGACAAAGCACTGAAACGGAAGTGGGGTTCCAAGATCTGGAGCGTGGTTAGCTCTCACGGTAGACTCATGCGCTCAATAAACACACAATGAGAGCGCAAGCCAACTACTGGCGGAAGTATCTTCAATGGGTGAGCGTGAAAATACCTTACAAGCAAGCAAGCAAGCCACTGCACGGCCTCTAGAGCAAGAGGAGCAGGCACAGACGTGTGAACAACACCACGAGGACGGTTGCTCGGTTGCTCGCTGCAACCATCGCTGCAACCATTGCAGTCCTAGGGTAACTCCCTAATCCTCTAATCGCCCTATAACCGCCCACTAACTGTAAGTTCCTAACTGACCACCATAGCCCTTCGGGCAAGCGCGACACACGATTGAGCCAAGCCACAGGGGGGAGGGGGGAGGGGGGGGGAGATTGGCCACGTGGCGGGAGGAGATTAGGATTCTGGTTCTCATTTCTCATCCGAGCAGCTGCCCGAGCCCCGCCTTTTGCTCCGCCGTCAGTTTCGACGGGAATTTCACATCGAATCGGATCTTGAGATTCCCCTTCCGGCCGTTCTCCTTCACCGGCATCCCTTCCTTCGGAATCACCTTCTCGTACCCCGGCGTAATCACGTCGTTTAGAATCACTACCAGCGTGCGCCCGTCTAGGGTTTTCAGCTCCAGGCGGAAATCCGCGAGCGCCTGGAGCAGCGAGATCTTCTGCGTGCAGACGAGATCGTGGCCGTCCCTTTTGTAGACCTCGTGCGGCTTCTCGTCGACGACGAAGACGATGTCGGCCGCGTTGCCCTTCCCCGGAAACGTGATCCGGGTACCCTTCTTCCACCCCGGCTTCACGCTAATCGTCACGATCTCGTCCGCGGGAGTTACCTTGCTGCGGAAAGGAAGAATACGGTGCGTGCAAGAATCGCGACGGAGATGGCTCAAGGACGTCAGAAGACGAGAGGGACAGAAAAACACAGGAATACTGGGAGTGGACAAACCCGGAGGAAAAAGAACACGCAACAAGCGACAAGGAAGCTTCACAGGATAAACGGCAACGACAACTACTAACGCGCTTGTCAACCGGCGTCTCAAATCACCTCACCCCGTTCACTCACCCCGTGGCGTCGATGAAATTCCGCGAAATCTTCATCTTCCTCGTCGACCCCGAGTACAGCTCCTCCAGGCTGCACAGCAGTCGGTTCTCAACCACTGCCTTCTTCGGCCCGGGAGACGGCAAATCCGACGTGTGCCCCTCTATTTGCGGCCCGTGGCCGTCCGTCGGCGTCGTCGGCACGTGCGGGCTGACCTTCGGGCTCCGGTAGGGTGTTCCCGCGGCGGGGTCAGGGCCGGCTGCTGCGAACGGGGTGTTGCCGAACACCTCGGCGAACACCTCCTCCGCCTTTCGCGGCTTGAATCTCGGGTGCTCCGGCTTGTTCGCGCCTGGGTGCGACACGTGCGACGGGAACGGCTGGTGCGGCGCGCCTTGCGGAGCGGGATGCGGTTGCGCGGGGGGGTTGGGTTGCGGAGAAGGGTAGGACTGAGGGGGAGGGTGGCTCTGACTCTGGTGGTCCTGCTGCTGCTTCTGATAGTTCGGATCGCTCTGCTGCCTCTGCGGATGCTGCGCGTGCGTTTGGCTGCTGTGTGAGTGGCCCTGGGGAGTGTGTGGATGCGCTTGAGCCGGGTGGCTTGGCGGGTGCGCGTGTCCCTGGGTAGGTCCAGCAGGCGGCGGCGGTCCCTTGAGGCCCTCCTCGCCGTCTTTATCGTAGACTGCTCGCTTGTCCGCATCGCTCAGAACCTGAAATGGTTGTCAGCAGAAATGTTTCGTCAGGCTCAGTCAGGCTCAGAGACGTCTCGTTTCATTCTATGTATAAGTTGAACTTTCTCAAATAGCGAGGTTCACGAGAATGAAGAGAAAAAATACCTCGTATGCTTCGGTTATCTCCTTGAACTTGGCCTCGGCTTCGTTCTTATTCGCAGGATTCTTGTCCGGGTGCCATCGCATCGCTAGCCTTCTATACGCCTTTTTCAACTCTTCCTCAGAAGCTCCCTTTGCCAGATTAAGGACGTCATAGTAGTCGACACCCATGACCCTAAGACTATCGTCCTAGTCTAGTAGTCGTACACTCTATCCTTGACTATTTTAAGCTACACTACCCATGCAAAGCACGCACTACCGCTGGTGGCACAAGAAGCGCCATGCGAGGGAGGTTGCCGTGAAAGACGCTGAACTGGCGTTTCGAGACGGAGCGATGATTTCACTTACGACCCTGAAAAGAAAACTAGAAGACCAGAAAGGGATTGCTAGGAAACGCGGAGCACGTTGGAAATGGTGAGGTTGTGATGGAATGGGATGGGGGAGGTGAGGCGGGGTCTGACAAGTCACGTGAGGCGGGGGACGGGTGTTGAGGCACGGATTGGTGGGAGCAGAGGGAAAAGGGGATGAGGGGGAGGGGAGGTGAGGAGGAGAAATGTCGAGTTACGGGGGAAAAGGGGGGAGGGGGCTTCGGGGGGTGGTGGAGGTGAGGGAGAGAGGGAGGGCGGGAGGGGCTCAGCAGCGAGATTCATGGCCCTGTTCAGCAAGGAACATGTGTTTGGAAGGTTGGCGAAAGGTTAAGTGCGTTTGAGTGGGGTGGAGAGGAGATGAGAGGGGAAGGAAGTGATTCAGAACGGATTGATTAGGAGGGAGAGTGGTGGCTCGATTACGGGTTTGGTTGACCGAAGCGACGGGCTGCTGGCTTGGACTGTTCGACGCGCGACCCGTGCGGGCTCCTGCTGAGCTTTGCTTCCCTCGCTCGCGGTCGCCTGTCACAGAAACGCGACGCGACGACCCACTGAATGATGCAGGCCGAAATGGCAGACGAATGGGGCATCAGCAAGTTGCCTCAGAAAGGCTGACCTCGTTTGAGTCATGGTGATGTGATAATTGGGATGGGACAATAATGACCGAGGTTTCAAGCGAGCGATGGCCGAGCCGCCAAGCTCAACTTGGGTTTCACGTCAAGGGGAAGGGCTCACTCAACGCGCACGAGCCTGACCCCTGTCGGGCCAACGTGCTGGAGGTGGGGTTCAGCCAATCCCGAGGGCCATCAGAGGGCGGTAAAGAAGGTCGCGTCGACTTGAGAAAGACCCGAACCTAAACTTCAAACAGGCTGATTCATCCCACAGAGGCTCGGTTGTTCTTGCTGGCTCTTGTTGCTCTTGGTGAAGCAGAAGTCAAACCGAACCCAATCACCTTCGGGGGATGGCTGGAACCAAACCAATTTGGGGTGGTCCATATCATTTGCGGACAGCTTGGATTGGCAGAAGTGTGTGCATCCACGTGTCGTTTCAGAAGTCGCAGCACGCTCGCACCAACCTCTCCGCTCAGGGCGGGTCCAAAAAGTTCGATTTCGCAAAATACCATTCCCAACCATTCTAGTCTGTTATTCTAATGCTTTGAAACGCAACGAAAGCTACTCCACCATACTCAGACGTACTATTTGGACACGCCCTAAGCTCCTAACTGCCGCTTTGTCGCTCCGTAATGTTACCTTGTCAACCATAACGAGCTCGATTTACGGAGGTCGGCGTTACCCGCTGTATGAAATTTAGTAAAGTTTAGACTCGTAGAAAGGTGGCTGATGCCGCTTCAATCGAGTAATTCTCGAAACTTCACCCAACAGCCCCTCCCATCGTGGAATTTTCACCGAACCGTGACGTCACAGAATACGCGCTTCTGCGCAGTAGTCTGCCAGAGCATAAATGTACGGACACCAAACCCGTGCAAAATTACTTTATCCGCTTTTCCTTATGCCTGTAGCGCAGCGCCCTCATCGACAGAATCCTGGTAATCGGCCCTACCGCTGCTCCTGCTCTGTGATTGCACTATCCGCTGTAATCCTCGCCGCTTTCTTCCTAATGCTTGCCCCGTCGATCTTGCTGCTGCCTCGAGTGTTCCGCCCTTCCGCCATTCCATTCCTGTCCGCGACCCGTCCGCTACAGCCACCGTCGAAGCCCCTTAACTCCACCGCTTCCCGATTAACTCGCCTCTCGTCCTCTTCCATGGCGACCGCCGCCGCTGCCACCTCAGCAGCTTTGGACGGCACCACATCAACAGCAGCGAGTGCAACAGCAGCGGCGGAGAGCGAGGTGAAGCAGCCGCGGAAGGCTCTGCGCAAGCTGCTGTCGCGGGAGCAAGCGGAGGGCGACGGCGCGAGGGTGCGGCGCAGCATCGGGCGGCCGGAGATGCGGTCGCTGGATCCGTTCCTCATGCTCGATGAATTCAAAGGTAGGCACCACGCCTTCACATCACACGCCTAGGGTTTCACACGCCTGCCACCTCCACCTGCCGGCTCTACCTGCCTGCTCCACCTGCCGCTCTACAACCTCGTGGGAATCCGCCCTTCACCCCCCTCCTTTATTCCGTCCCCGCTTCTGCGTCCTTTCCTTCCTTCTCCACTCAACAGTCGTCCATTCGTATTCTGCCGGCTCTCTGCTCTTTTCTTTTTCCCCGTGATGTGACGTTCCCTTGCCGCCCCTCCGCCATATCTCCCCCTGTTGCAGTTTCCGCGCCTGCTGGATTCCCCGACCACCCTCACCGCGGTACAGTGCCACGCGCCATGCGCACACCTGTCTTGTAGCTCAACCACTCAACCCTTTCTGAATCTCATGCGCTGTGTGCCATGCTTTGGGTTGCGGCTATGATGCCTGTAGTCCGGCGCGAGTTCTAGACCAGCCACCTCTACAAACCGCCAATACAATATGCCTCACATTCGTTTTCCTCTGTCTTCCGAACCCCTCGCTTTTGCTGCAGGATTTGAGACTGTCACATACATGATAGAGGTATGCCCTTGGCCCGTTGCTCGGCCATAGACTCCTCCTCTTGCTTCATGTGCTATTGTCACCTTTCCCCCCAGAGTACCTCTCCCTGAATGCACTTTCTTTGGCTCAAAGTCCTGCCTCCCCCCTATCCCTTTTTCCTTTCTCTTGCATCCTTTCGTCCTCTCACACACGCTCTCCCCCCCCCCCCCCCCCCCTGCACCCTCTCCTCCTCACCTGCATTCTCTCCTCTCGCCCTGTTGTGCCGGCAGGGCGCGTTCGCGCACGAGGACTTCAACGGGCACAAGGGCATCATCGGCCCAGGCGACCTGCAGTGGATGACTGCAGGCAGAGGCGTGGTGCACGCGGAAATGCCCGCCACCAAGGGGCCGAGCCACGGGCTGCAGCTCTGGGTCAACCTGGCTGCCAAGGATAAGATGTGAGTCATTTTCTCCCAATGTGTTGGGATGAGTGCTTCCGTATTTTCAAGTCTAAGCAAGATGGCACACGCTGGGGTCGATCCCCTGCATTGCGCACCCTTGCTAAGGATAAGATGTGAGTCGGTCTCTCTTTGTGCTGCGATTCGTGCTTCTGTGTCTTCAAGTTCAAGGGTGAGCGTGTAGGGTTGGCTTGATTGCCTGCGCAGCACTTTTTTTTCCTTAGAGCGCAAAGAGCAAGCTTTGACTACTTCTCACAGGCCTTGACCTATTCGTATTGCACCATCACACGCTTGCAGGGTCCCCTCCAACTATCAGGAACTGAAAGACTCAGATGTTCCCAAGGTGGAGCGCGACGGGGTGCGCGTGGCAGTGATTGCTGGGACGTCTCTCGACATCACATCGCCCGTCTACACTCTCACGCCCACCATGTACCTCTCCTTCTGCCTCCAGCCCGGTGCTCACCTGCGCCAGGCCATTCCCCTTGGATGGAATGCCTTCATCTACACTCTTTCTGGCAAAGCTACTATAGGCGATTCTGCATCCACTGCTATTGGTCCTCACCACACCGTTGAGCTTGGTCCCGGAGATGGGGTGGAGGTGTGGAACAAGGGCTCCGAAGAGTGCAGGTTTGTGCTGATTGGGGGCAAGCCGATAGGGGAGCCGGTGGCACAATATGGGCCTTTCGTTATGAACACTGAGGAGGAGCTGAGGAAGACGTTTTACGACTATCAGATGGGTATGAACGGCTTTGAGAAGGCCAGTTCGTGGAGTAGCAGCATCAAAGACGGTGTTCCTGGAGTCGTTTAACATACATGGTTAACTTTGACCTTTGTTGGTATACTAAGCATTATACGACACTGGAGTCGCGTAACATACATGGTTAATTTTGACCTTTGTTGGTATACGAAGCATTATACGGCACTGAATACCATGAGAACACTGCTGTTTCTGTATCCATAACTTCATTTCGGCTTTCACGCGTCAACCTTGATAATCCTTGCAAGCTGCCCGCGGCTTGGTCTCCGTTTCCCATCCGAGCCCCGTCGTGGGCGCAATCGAGCCTGACCGCAGGAAACGAGTCAAACCGCGAAATTGGCGCGTGAAGGTGATCCTTCGCTGGGGCTGCATTTGGCGCATTTGGCTGCTGGGAGGTTCTTGAACATGCTGGAAGGGGCAGCCAGTCAGGGGTGCTTCTCTTTCCTCTCACTCACCCTCTCACATGCACCGTCATCCGTGCATGTGCGCGTTGCCCCTTCCACCACAAAGCGCGTTACAAATATATATCCGGTGTGGCTGCTGGGTGAAGTTGACTTTCTATGTATAGAAACAATTGCTGTGCGTACTAGCTGCTTGAGTGGTTCCATATACTACGGTCGAGCAATTCTGCTATCTTGAGAATCAACCCGGCTTTCGCTAGGCTAGGATTTTTCGCCCGTCCGTTGATAATACGCTGTACAGAACTCTTATCTCGAAGCCCATCCCACCGCTAAAATCCTCAGTACGCTAGACTCCTTAGTATTCTCAGCACTGCTTTTTGCCTTTTCAGAATGAAATCGCCGTTACAGACGGACGTGTTTGAGCGCGCGTCCCTGGCATGGGGCAGCGCCCATGGCTGCCGCGGTGCGAGCATGAAGCGCGCCGGGCGGTGGGACCCGACGGACACGTGGCACGCGTTGAAGCGGCAACGGCTGGACGATTCTAGCTGCTTCCCTCACTCCCACGCGGCGGGAGGCCCGGTGACTGACGCCGCTGCCCTGGTCAACGCTGCGCAACCCTTCACCGCACGTTGCGCCGGCGGCGACGGCGGCGGCGACAGAGGAGAGGCGCCGGTGCTGCCGAGCCATGTTCGAAGCTCGCCGCATTCGACGAGCGGAGCCACGGGAAAGCGGAATTTTCCGGAGATGGGGAACGATTCCGATGCACACGGAGGGACGGTGGAAATGGTAGAGCGGAGATATAAGAAGAATTGGGGCGAAATTGGTACGCACGGCGACGAGGAGGTGGCGGGCGGAAGAGGGGACGGAGCGGGAGCTTGGGACAGCGGGGTTGGGGTTATCAGAGCGAAACGGGCGAGCGATATGCGCGTCGATGCCCTTCGTGGGTGTGCCTCTGACGGGGTACTAGCGACGGGAAAATTGGCGCGAGGAGAGGGTGGTGGGTGTGAAGGGGCGGGAGCGCGGCAAGCAAGCAGGGAAGGTGGTGGGAGAATACGCGGTGAAACCAGCGTGGCACATCAAGTGCACGAAGATGCGTCGGACGCTGCGTCTCTTATGTTTTCTGACTTCAACTACTGGCGGCTGCCGTATGGGGGTTCCTCCTTCTCTGGTGCGGGTATGCTAGACGATGTGGAAGGAGCTGAGTGGAGCAGAAGCAGCATGATGGGGGATCGTGATAGATATCCCCCCCTTGGGGGAAGCATGAAGCGGACTGCGGGAAGGGAGGGGGGCGGAGAGTGGTGCATGGAGAGGGGAAAGCGGCCGCGATGGTTGTAGTGCGTCCTTTTGGCACGGCTAGCAGGAGCAGCAAACGAAGGTTAGCGTCCTATCTGACGGTTTCAGACGGCGTGAGCGAGGGTGGATGGTGCAGCAGGAACGCCGCCAGCACACCGCCAGCACGGACACTGGCTGCACTAACACCGCCAGTACAGATACCGGCAGCTGGGGCACTGGTGACCGTGCTGCTGGTGTTTGTGCTGCCCGTGTCAGTGCTGCTGGGGTCCGTGCTGTCAGTTGTTGTGCTGTTGCTGTTCCCATCTTATCTCACACGACCCTCCCTCGCCGCAGCTGCACCTGGTGGTGAGCCGTCAACGACTTCTGCTGCATGGCGTCACCTCTCCAAGCTCCACTGTTCCGCTCAGCCCACCAGATGCAATTGCCGAGCTGCACGGCGCAGCATTGTTTCAGCTGGGACGTATGCCATGGGCATGATGACACTATTACAACCAGACAACTCTAATGATATTCCAGTCTCACTCATGCCTTGCTTGAGTCATCACAGCTTCAGTTTCAACTTTCAAGGTCCCTTGAGGCTGTCACAGTAGCGGGACATCTTCGCCTCAGCTTTACAATGCATACTTACAATGCAGATGAAAATTATGCCAAAGACCAATGGTCGTTTCTCAGCATTGGATGCATTTGTGCTTGATGTGAGTTGTGTTCGAATACAAGAATGACTAGGAGAGAGTATAGGGGAATATAGGCTAGGGTGATGTACCCTCTAAGGCACAAACCTATATAGTCTACAATAATATACTAAGTTATGTTTGACACACCCCCTAGACTATATAGGGGCAGTGCCTAACAGGAGAACAAGCAGCTCAAGGCGTCACTACTAGTCCAGCCTCTGAGTCAAGGGTCTAAAGACCAGTCAAAAGGAGTACAGACAAAGACAAGAGCAAGACCAGGGCGGCACTACTAGTCCAGCCACTGGGAGAGGCCACAAGGCCAGTCAGGGTAATATATATAAAGGTCTGTACACAATCAAGGCCCTAGCAAATGAGAGGCTACAGGAACAAGACCAAACTGTACACAGTGCCGCTGATGATCTTTAGGCGCAAGCGCCTTCGTAAAGATATCAGCTGTGTTGGCACCGGAGGCCAATTGTACTACGCTTGCCTGGCGACGCTGCTGTAGCTCGCGCAGGAGGAAGTACCGCAGCAGGATGTGCTTCGCTCTGCCCTCAAGTCGAGGCTCCTGACACAGGAGGATCATGGCCCTGTTGTCAGCGTACAGGACTGGGGCAGAGCTAGGCCGCTCACCTAAGTCAGTGAGCAAAAAGGTCAGCCAGCTGATCTCCTGTGCCGCCATGGCACCGGTGTAGATCTCAGCCTCGTAGCTAGACTGGGCAACAGACGAGGAGCGCGTAGCTCTCCACGAAACAGCACCTGAACCAAGGCTAAATCAGTAGCCCCTGAGAGGACCTGAGAGTCTCTGCGTCGTCTGCCCAAGAAGCATCTGTGTCAGGCCCTCATATTCGTTTTAGGCCACGCTGATTGATCAGTGTTGATCTCAAAAAAACCCTGGAAATCGGTTCTTGGTAGTGGTTTTCTTAATAGTTGGCCCTGGTTCTTTCGTTTCAAGGCTGATTCATCAAGGTCGGTACAAGAGAAGACCCTGAAAAGAAAAAAGCAGAATCAGCTTAAAAAGCCTGATAACTATGAGCCTGGTCTGTGTGACCAGTAAGGACCACTCGCCTCCGTCCTTCCAGCACTAGCCCCATGCCCGATGTACTTGGAAGATAACGCAAAACCCTCTTAGCCGCAGACCAGTGCTGTGGTCGGTGTCTGCCTGTGGCCACGAAGCGAGTCAAGAAGCTGAGAGGGTATGCGAGATCTGGCCGAGTGCAAGTAATCAGGTACATGAGGCAACCCACCAGCTCTGCGTACGGACCACTGGGCTCTACTGACTCTTCAAGAACAGGAGCTGTGAGCCTGTGGTCAACTGTCAGAGGTGTGGGCTGTGCAGAGGAAAACTGAAGACCGAACCGCTGAAGGACCTGGCGCACCAAGTGTGACTGTGAGAGTGGGATGGTGCACGCTGCTCTGTCCCTGGAGATCTGCAGGCTAAGGTAGTGGCGCAGTTCTCCTAGGTCAGTGCAGGTGTGTCTCTTCAGTAGCTCGGCCTTCACGAAGGCCAGCGCATCCCTGTCAGCAGTAGAAAAGACCAGGTCGTCTACGTAAACAAGGATGTAGAATGGGGTCTGGAAGGCACGAACAAAGAGCGAGGAGTCGGCAGTGGACGGGAAGAACTGCAGGTCAGCTAAGGTAGCATGCAGCATGTCGTGCCACTTACAGGGCGCCTGTCGCAGGCCGTAGACTGGGCGCCGCAGGAGCCACTGGGTCCCAGGAGGGAAGGTACCAGTAAATCCCTGCGGGTGGCGCATGTAGACCTGCTCATCTAGGTTGCCCTTGAGAAAAGCTGTGGAGAAGTCGAGGGAGTGTAACTCGTAGTCGCGCTGTGCTGCTACGTGTAGCAGCGCCCGAAGAGTAGTCATCTTCGGGGTCAGCGCGAAGGTATGAAAGAAGTCCACCCCCTCATGCTGACTGAAGCCTTTAGCCACGTAGCGCGCCTTGAACACAGGCGGCTCTCCAGGGGGGCGCTTCACCTTGAAGAGCCAGCGGTCATCGACTACGTTCACCCCACCCGGCACCAGCATTCCCCCTCCTCTATCTGCATCCCCTCCGTGCCCCTCCCCCTCCCGTGTGCAAGGCACTGCATCTGCAGCTGTAGTGGCTGCAGTGGTTGCTGTGATGCAGCGGTTGCAGCGGCTGCTGTGGGTGCTCGGCGACCAACAGCATTAGCTGCAGCAGAGGAGAGCTGAAGGCTGGCAGCACTGGCAGCACTTCCACAGCGGTTGAGACAGCAGCAGGGAAGTCACGTGGTGGTAAGTGCACATGGGTTGGTGCGTGGGGGACAAGTAGTCGGTGCACAGAGAGTCTTCAATGCCTCTTGCTTGTGTCACTTCCCTGCTCCGCTGCTCCTAGCACGGCTCCCCTGTGCCTTGCCTCTCTGCGTTTCGGATGTACTGCCTCCTCGCTGTGTGTGCCTTGCCGCATGGTCTCCCTCCCAGGCATTCAGGCGGCACAGTTGTGAGGACGCATTGACTCCGTGTGTGTGGTGTCTGTCCGCACAGCTTCCTTCCATCTCCATCCGGCAGCAACCGCCTGTGACTGAGGAGGTGGGCTTATAGGCACAGAGGCATGCAGGTGGGTGCAGTGCGATGCTCAGGGACAGGGCTTTGTTAGCGCGTCAGAGTGAATCTGTATTCCACGACTACTCTGCCTCCCACACTCCGCTCTCGCGTGGGTGAGCACGTGAGCAGGTGAGCGGGTCACCAGGTGAGTGGGTGAGCAATCAAGCAGGTCAGCGGGTGAGCGGGTGAGCGGTTGAGCGGGTGAGTGGGTGAGCGGGTCAGCGGGCGAGCGGGTGAGAGGGTGAGCGGGTGAGCGGTTCAGCGGGTTAGCGGGTGAGTGGGCGAGCGGGTGAGCGGGTGAGCGGGTGAGCGGGCGAGCGGGTCAGCGGGCTAGCGGGTGAGCGGGTCAGAGGGTGAGCGGGTGAGCGTGTGAGCGGAAGAGCAGGTGAGCGGGTGAGCTGGTGAGGGGGTGAGCGGGTGAGCACGTCGAGTGGTTTCCCAGTGGTTTTCCACCACCCCGAGTGGTTTCCCACTGGTTTGCCACCACCTCGAGTGGTTTCCCAGTGGTTTTCCACCACCCCGAGTGGTTTCCTCCCAGTGGTTTGCCACCACCCCGAGTGGTTTACCAGTGGTTTGCCACTACCTCGAGTGGTTTACCAGTGGTTTGCCACCAACCCGAGTGGTTTCCCAGTGGTTTTCCACCACCCCGAGTGGTTTCCTCCCAGTGGTTTGCCACCACCCCGAGTGGTTTTCCAGTGGTTTGCCACTACCTCGAGTGGTTTCCCAGTGGTTTTCCACCACCCGGAGTCGTTTCCCAGTGGTTTGCCACCACCTCGAGTGGTTTCCCTCTGGTTTGCCACCACCCTAAGGGGGGCGTCTCAGTCCGTTGCTCCCTGCTCGAGTCAGTGCCTGCTCTCATGCTGCTGCTCGTTAACGACGTGTGCGTGTGCTTTTTCTGTCTGTTTGCCTCCTGGCTTGAGGCCCCTCAGATGCGGCTGCACCAGCCACAGCAGGAGGGCTGAGCGGCCAGCTCTGGTGGTGGCAGAAGGGGGAGTGGGTGGCAGCAGAGACAGCACCACAAGGTGAGTGCACGAGGATTGTCAGTGGGGGGTGGACTTGGTCCGAGTCAAGGTCGCCGAGCAGAGGCTCTCTGCCCTCTGCCCGAGTCGGCGTCTCCTTCCCCCTGCTTCTAACATACCCCCTTGCTCCTATGCTGTCTGCTTTCCTTGTGCTTGTGTGTGTGTGGCGTTCGAGCCAATGAGACGGGGGCATCAGTCCAGCAGTGCGAGGTAGCGGCTGCAGCATTCCGCTCAGCCAAGCAGCATAGGAGGGGACGCTGCTCGTGGGTTATGACAGCAAGGCGGTAATGGCCACAAGAGTAGTTACCGGTGCACTTACAACCAGTGCCGTTTGCCTGGTACTAGAGCCGGTGGCAGCAGAGGCAGCACCATGTGGTGAGTGCACGAGGATTGTCTGTGGGGGGACGAATTTGTCTGAGTCAAGGTCGCCGCGCAGAGGCTCTGTGTTTTCTTGCTCAATTCAGTGGCTCCGTCCCGCTGCTTCTGACATAGCCCCTCGTATGTGCCCTCCTTTCCTTGTGCTTCTGTGTGTGTGTTTAGGGCCTCAAATCCATAGAGGCATCAGAGGGCAACGGCAGCAGCACTCCAGCTTCACCAGTGGAGGTAGCAACTGGAGTGCACCGCTCAGCCACGCAGCAGAAGGGGTGGTGGCCGCTGGGGGGGCTACTAGAGCACTGGTCAGTGCCACTTGCGTGTTGCTGGAGTTGACCAGGTGAGTGCACAAGCAGAGTCCGTGGGGGGCCGCGCTGGTCTTGGTCTAAGTCGCCGCGCAGAGGCTCTCTAGTGCTGGCTCGAGTCTGTGTCTCTTTCCCGCTGATTCTAACGACCCTCTCCTGCGTTGCTGTTTTATGCTCTTGTTGCTGTGTGTGCAAGTATCGTGTCCAAGTCAGGCGCACTTGGCGGCGCCAACCACCAGCAGGGGCGAGCAGCACAGCTGTGGCGGCAGCAGAGGCAGCACCATGTGGTGAGTGCACAAGAATCGCCTGTGGGGGGGCGAGCATCCAGGTCAAGGTCGCCGCACAGATGCTCTTTAGTGCTGGCTTGAGCCTGTGTCTTTCTTGTGCTTCTTCTAACACCTCTCTCCTTCGGTGTGTCCCTGTGTGTCTTGAACCTCTGGCCGTGTGTGTGTGGACGGCCTCCAACCATTGTGACAGCATCAATCGGATGTGGCAGCCTCTGTAGCAGCAGCAGCGACAGCAGTGACAGCGCGGGCAACAGTGATGGCAGCGCTGGTGTGATTGCCAGCACCACTTGTTTTTGAGCCTGCTGCTGGAGTTGCCCTGGTGTCAGCAGAGGGGAGTTGCAGGTGCGCTCACAGTCCTGCCAGCTACTTGATGCGCTGGATGCTGCTGGAGTTGCCCGGGTGAGTGTGCATCGGTCATGGGGGGGCGAGTAGGGAGTCACCTAGGCTGCCGCTTAGAGCGTCTCCCGTCTGTTGCTCCCTGCTCGAGTCAGTGCCTGATCTGATGCTGCTGCAAGGACGCGTGCTTGTGCTGTTTGTATCCGTGTGTCTCGTGGAGTGCAGGTCACTGAGCCATCAGCCATCACTGCA